GATCTATGAAAATTTAAATTTGCAAATAATGTATATGTGTTGCATTTACAGTCATCCATCCATATATAATCACACAATTTTAAATAACAATTATTTTATTATTTTCTTGTTTTATATTTGCATTTTAAGTTTTTGGATTTGACATATTCTCGTAGTTTTTTCCATTTATTCACCGCGGTTTTTGAAAATTGACTAGTGTCTATATTTGGATTATCTTTAACGATACTTTAAACAAAAATAACTCGAGAAGTTCTTAACCATTCAAATTTTTTTAAAAGATTTACTTAATAGAACGTTTCTATTTCCTTATATCTAGAGATGTGATCTGGATATCTGTTAATTTAATTTTATAATAAAATTCTTATCCATAATTTTTAAATAGGAAAACGGATGACGGATCACATCTCTATCGTATCATAGTAAAACTATAGTTGTTAGACGAAACCATGTGATGCTAAATGTCACATATCATTATTTAATAAAAACTAGATTAAATTTTTAGGTCTTGGTATTTTATGATAGGTGATGATTATCATCACATGGTTTCGTCTAACAACTATACAGTAAAACAGTAAAAACACATAAATTACATTTGTCGGATTCATTTTAGCATGCTCTTTAAAGTAACAACGTCTTTATTTTTATTGCTTAGAGCATAGCGGGTGTCCCAATTTTGCATGGAAAGCAGTTTCTTTTATTTTTATAGTTAACCATTTCTTCTGATCTAATTATTAATTAGTTTGAATACTTTTCAACCAGCTCAAGAATTTTAATTGGTATAAGGTCACTCTCATTTCTATATGACATCATAGTTAGCATAACATCGCAGGGGAGGTAATGGTATTTCATATTTGGAGTAATACAATACGAACAGGGTTGGTCAAATCACTGGTCGACCAAAAATTCATTGGTCAAACTGGTCTGGTCAAATTGGTCAAGTGGTCTGGTCAAATTGGTCAAATGGCCTAGTCTATTAAATAAATAAATTTAGTATACAAAGTAAATATAAATATAAATATATATATGCATATGTATACTATATATTTAAATAACCTTTGACCAATTTGACCAATACTAAACCCTTTGACCAACTGGTCAAATTGGTCAAACTGGTCTGGTCAAGCTTGACCATTGACCGGTCCGTGCCAACTCTGAATACGAAATATACAGTTTTCCCGATAATTTTATAAATAAATCTTAATACCCGACTCTCCCTTACGTCCTTTGATTTAATAGTTAAACAAAAATGGTTTAGTATAGGCATTGCTAAAGACTCTTTGGTGGGTACCCGCAAGTTTTTTTGTAACACTAATTAATGAGCACGTTAAACCAGAATTATCTATAGGAATCATACTATATGGTATTATCTATTTCTATACAATACAGACTGGTTTAGGATTTCCCTTTTATGGGTGTATTCTCATAATAGTTCTTTTTTTTCGTCAGACGAGCTGAAGAAAAAAAAAAAAAAGTATAAATATGAAATAACATTAATATACAATAAGGCAGAAAACAACTTTAACGAGCTTCTTACACACTTCAAACTTTTGAACTTTCTCTTGAATATTACAAAAGATCATAATGAGTTCTGATTCATACGTAATCAATAAATCAAGTTTATTTGGCCAAAAAAAAGAAAGGATCGATATATATGTCCTTAATCTATTAAATAAAAATTGTTTTCATGTTGAACTAGATTCTAACTTCACCTCATATTCTATTGTTAAAGTTTCTTGCCAAGGATTTTACTATTATCTTATCATCTGGAAAAAGACATCTTTTATTACTGAAAATTTTCATATTATTAATAATTTTAAGGAAGATAACAAAACACTTGTTTGTGATTCTAATTTAGAAAATACAGTTGTTAATGAAAAATTTGATGAATTTGCAAAAAACCGAACTTCTTTAAATTTTTGGACAAATAATGAAAATACAATTATTGATTTTCTTAAAGTAAAGTTTTACATTTACTATATAAAGTCTAAAAATGTGACATGTGATAAGCAAGATTCGTTGGAATTTGTAAGATTTATGAAAACAAAATTTAGAGATATCACATTCATTGATAATTATTATAAAATGTGGCTTGACGTTAAGAACAATAAGAATTAATTAGTAATTCGCCTAGGAAGGATAAGATTACTAACAAAATTTATTATGATTCTAACTAAGTTAATATACTTTATTTTTCTAATAAAAATAGTCTAGAAAACCTTTTTACTACAGTAAATTACGCTATAGTAACTATATAAAAATAACCATCAGTTATCAGGGTTGCGTACTATTAACCAAACTATTATATTGATAGTTTACGGATTTTATCACTTAATCAGGATAAAAAAAAAATGCTAATGCCATTATTGCAAAGGTTGCAATAAGCAATGCACCCTCTAACCAGTTTGATTTTCCATCTGAAAAAGTAAGTTCAGATTATATTATTTGTATTAAAAGAATTAAAAAAAATAAGTTAAACAATACTCACCCTATAATTAAGAGTAAATGAAAAATGCAATAATGGTTAAGATAGATTTTTTTTATTATAAAATTTTACAATATTAAAAAAACATACCTGTACCAAGTAATTTGAGAGTAAAACTGAAATTAATAAACATACAGTTTCAAAAACCTCAAAGTTCAATGACATTGGTTGACCAATAATCCATCCCAATATTACTAATAGAGGAATAACAAATAATGCGATTTGCTATAATTTTATCAGCAAGAGTAAAAGATTTTTTAAAATTTATTTCATCCAGCATTATCGTTATATCATAACAATTCCAATCTCTAATTAACTTACTGTTGAGCTGCCAACTGTAACACAAATAGCAAAATCCATTTTATTTTTCATTGCAACAGTAACAGAAGTAGCGTGCTATTAACAATATTAAGGTCTTAAAATGGTTAAAGAAAAATATCATGATCATGATGGTAGAATTAAATTTAAATACCTCAGCTGCATTTCCGATAATAGGTAACAATATCAACCCAATGAAAGTTTTACTTAAATCAACTCCTTCAATTGAACTAACAAGAAATTCAGCAGAAAATCCAATTATCACTGTTATTATAATTAGCAAAAATAATGCCATATTCTTGCTTATTTGTGGTTCTTCATTTTCTTCATTATTAAATAAATCCTTATGAGTTTTTAACTATTAATTAAAAAGAAATAAACTATAAAGAGCGCATTGTAGATAATAATTAGACGATGGTAAAAAATTTTATTATACCTGAAAATATAAATAAAGTATATATATTATGAACAACACTATAGAAGTTCCATAACTTAAACGCAAGATTCTAGAATCAATCGCGTTGGGAGCACTATTACCAATAGTACTGTTAGAATTTCCATCTATAGCAAGGATAAAAGCGGCAGGTACGACTAAAGCAATGTACGCTAAAGTCATAACACTAGAACTTGCTTGTGCTGCAGTTGAACTAAATTCTTGTTCCAAACGTTCTTCTTTAAGAATGGTGATCCCACCAGCAAGAAAACATGATCCTAAAACTAATAAGATATTTGAAAATATAGATCTGAGAACTGATGCCTGAACAATGCGAATTTGTCCCTTCGACAAAGCTATTATCGATATTATTAATTCTACCGCATTGCCAAAAGTCACATTCAATAAAGCTGCCAAGACCTTTTATTAAATTGAATATTGAGACAATGAAAATTTTAAATTAAATGAAAGGATTAATTTAAATTTTCAAATACTTGTCCGACTCCACATGAAAGTTCTTCAGTTGCAAACCCAAGCAATTTGGCCAATGGAATAATTGCAAGAAAGTTTATTACAAAGATGATGACTTTATTCAAATTAAGAAAGTTTACAACAAAACCTACGGGAACTAACAACAATAATATGTTAATTTTAGAAGAAAAAAAAATCACTTTAAGAGATTGTTTTAAAGATGGTTTATCATGAATAATTTCACTCATTTTGTTTTCGGATATTTTTTTTAAACGTTTCCAATTTTTTTAAATGCTTTTTTGTATTGTTACGTTGATAAACACATTAGTAATTGTCATATCTTTTTATAAAATTCTATCAATATAAGTTAATTAAAAAACAATAAATATTAGTTTATTGTAAAACTGAATAGTTTTGTTATAAATTCTGGCTAATTATTGTTTTATCACATCTCTACCAGATGATGAAAGAAATTTGATTGCCACTCATCGGGATACTTCATAAAAAATTATTGAATCACCTATTTTAGCGTCATTAGCTCCATCACTACCTGTAAGATAAAAGCAACTTTGGGAATGAGTGTTTAAGGTTTTCTTTACTTCTATAATTGTTTCAATAAATGAAGAATTGTCGAAATTCATTTGGTTGGCATCATTGATTAATAATATAAACAGGTATTAGGATTCGAACAATACTAAAAAGTTAAGGAGAGTCGGATATGGCGCTCTTAAGAGTTGCATATATGAAAATTTTTAGAAAGGTGTATTTTATTTACGAAATTTAAGCTTTTAAAATATACGCACTACGTACATATTTCGAAGTGTATTACTGCATCCTCTCTTTAGATATTGTCCGAATGACTCCATTATCGTTATATAACTTTAAAATCTAAATCTGATTGGTTAAAAAATTTTATCCAATTAATCCTCAAGAAAAGTGGATAATAACCTCCTGTTAGTATTTTTCGGGAGGATCCTATTGTATTGATTAAAGACCAGATCCAATATATTTAATAATAGCATAAATATGATTTTAATTACAACATCCATTAAATTTCAATTGTGTCATTTCAATGCGTCGAGAATTAATCTAACCTTTTTACTCGTAAGAATTCATCAATTGAACAGTAAAAGTAATGAATTGGAAATTCTCATTTAAAATATCCAGAACCGTAGTTTGTAATTGTTATAAATACTGCTATTTGCAACCTATAGATATTAACAAAACATCTAATTTCATCTTAAGAAATTAAAAAAAAGTTTAAATTCGAACTTTTTAAGAGCAAAAACTTCCAAAATGAGTCCAACTACTGTCACTGTTACCAAATGTCCTGACGGTGACGCACTTAATCGACGTCCTACAATAAACACTGGGTTTAATGCTTCTGTAACTGAAGACCCTTATGGTGGAAGCGCCGTCAACCAATGTTCCATTATGTAACTAATATTCGAGACCCTTTCATCCAATATTAACTTATAAGATTTTATACTACCCTCCACATTTAGTTTAATAATAGTTAATTTGTCAAAAACGTTATGACAAAACTAATAAGAAGTAGCTTATTTTATAAATGATAATTACAAAATAAGTACTCCTATTTGTACAGGCATAAGTTGGGGTGTTTGGTCGGCTAATTAAATCAAACCTATTTGTAGACCCATAATAGATTTGTATAGTGAATTTTTTTAAATAATACAATTGGCTGATTTATCATGTATTGTTTAAATAATCTAGTCACCC